GCGGAGCCGGCCCTGGGTGCACCCCAACTTCCCTATGCCTGCAAACGAGGAGGGGTGCTCTGGCGTGGGGAGGCGCTGGCCGGGCTGCGCGTCCCCGTGGAGAGGGCATCGTCAGCGCCTCGTTCCCCATCTACAGACGAGGGTTCGGCACATCTGCCGGGGCCGCCCGTCCCCTCTCCCCAGGGCAGGGCGAGGGCTCTAGGCTGCCTGGCCCGAGGGGCGCCTCCTGGTGGGCGCGGCCCCCAACCCCCTTCTGCAGACCCGGGTCTGGGAGGACACGGAGCCCTCGCCCTCGGGCTGGAAGCGCCTGGCTGATGCCCTTTGCAAAACTTGGTTGAAGTGCATAGCAAAGGAGGTTAGGGGGAGACTGGGGCAGGGCGGCTCCCCGCAGGGGGTGTCCCCCCCGCCCCAAGCTAGCGCTGGTGGCTGGTGAGGCAGCAGATTTTCTGCCCTCCCCATAGGGAGGGGCCGCAGTCGCCTAGGATGCTTCGCTGGGCCTCCAGGACCCGCCCGTTTGGGCCCTTCAGGCGGGGCCTGGGTGGGGCGGGTGCTCACTGGGCACTGCCACGCTGGCTGGAGCCCCACCCCCTCCCTGGAGAGGATGGGCAGAGGGGCACCTTGTGGGGAGTCACACACACAGCGGCCCATCCCCCAATCTCTGAGATGCTACCTCTCCCTTCTGGGTGAGAAATGGGAGTCCACGTGAGGGGTACTGGCTGTCCTCACCCTTGTAAGATGCCCTGAGAGGCTAGGGGTCTGGCCTGGGGCTGCTGGCAGAGGAGGAGCAGGGTACAGGGAGCACCACGTGGGGCCGCCTCACCTCCTGTGTGCCACACACTCCCCACCGGTTGTAATGTAAACAATGAACCCTTCATTCATCCAGCTGCTGTCACCTGGCCCAGCTCTGCCAGGCGCTGGCAGGTACACAGGAGTGGGGGCATCGCTGCCACTAGGGAGCAGCGCCCATCACGGAGTGAAGTGGTGTGGGGCTGGGAGCAGAGGAGGGACAGGTGGAGGGTGGGGTGGAGAGGAAGCTTGATGGAGCCCATTGCAGAAGTTTGCTGCCAGAATGCCAAATGGGCTTCAGACAGGGAAATAGCATGGGCAGGGCCTGGAGTCAGAGAAGGGGGCAGGAGCCCCAGTAGCTGCTGGGTTAGAGGAGCAGTGAAGGGTTTAGGTGATGGGGCATGGGGTCTAAGTCAGGGGAGTTCTGTTGAGGGAAGGGATTGTCTTGGCCTTCCTCCTTTCCCAGGTGGGGCCCCTCAGACACCTTCCTCCACGAGCCGTGAGCTAGGATGCGTTTCACCTGCAGTGCCTGGCCTACAAGTGATGGTGGGGCGCATCTCTATGGAGGGGTTAGAGATGCAGAGGTGTTTCAAAGGCAGAAGAGCCTGGCAGAGGGCACCCGGGGGGGGGGGAGGGGAGAACCTAGGCACACAAGGGTGCACCTGCAAGCCCCCAGGGCCACCCGGCAGGCTGGGAAGGTGGTGCCTGGAATTTTGCACCCAGAGCCTGAAATCCCAAGTTGGGGATTCACCCTTGGGCACCAATTCTTTTCCAGCATCTCCTGTCCACGTTAGTGGTTAAGAGTTCAGATACTGGGCCCTGACAGCCTGCGTTCAAATCCCAGCTTTGCCACCTACTAGTGACAAATCACTATACCTCTCTCTGCCTCAAGTTTCCCATCTATAAAAATGAGGCTACTTATGGTATCTACCTGTGAGGGTTATTGAGAGAATTGAATCAATGTGTGTGTGTGAAGTATGTTCACTTGATGGAGACATGCCCAATGTTGTTATTGTGGCTGTGCCTGGTGGCCCTACATTCCGCACACACATACACACACACGCACACACGCACGCATGCTTATTCCCTCTCCATCTGTCCACCGTCAGGCAGTCCTGCCTGTTAGCCCCACCCAGGCCCTGTTCTCTGCCTCAGTGCAGCCTCCTCCCCTCCACACCGCCCCTCCCCGCCCACACTCTGGTACACCTCCCTTGGCAATGGGAAGGCCACCATCCCCACAGCTCTAGCCATCCGTCTTCCCTCCACTCTGTTCCACATGTAGGGGACCGTTCCCTTTTGGCCTTCCGTCCCTGGCCCTGCCACTGTAAAGATTGACCTTGCCCTTTTGATGCCATCTACTCTACCTCTGCTTCTATGCCCCGGGGGGGGAGGGGGGGGGGGGGGCGCTGCATTCTTGACCCTCCTGGTTCCCTGCCATCTTAGTCCCATTGTTTTAACAAAACACTACAGGCTTATACACAACAGAAACTTATTTCTCCCAGTTCTGGAGGCTGAAAGTCTGAGGTCAGGCTGCCAACGTGGTCGGGTGAAGGCCCTCTTCCAGGTTGCAGCCATCTCCTTGTATCCTATGGTGGAAGGGGCAAGGGAGCTTTGTGGGGGTCTTTTTTATAAGGGCACTAATCCCCTTCATCAGGGCTCCATCCTCATGACCTAATCACCTCTCAAAGGCCCCACCATCACATTCGGCATTAGGCTTCAATATATGAATTTGGGGAGGCACAAACATTCCGAACATAGCATCTGGCCAGGGGTTCTTGAGGGGAGAACAGCAGTCTGTGTGTAGGTCTAAAATAAAACAAAATACATATTGAGTGTATGCTGGCCCTTTTTTGAGCTTTTTAAATGTGTGTTAGTTTTTGGATATCTTCATCACATTCCCTATATTTTAGAGATGAGGAAATCCTGTTTGCCCTCCGTGCATTTGTTAGGTACTGTGTACCTAGAAGACATACCCCTTCGCCATTTGACCCTAAAGCACACTTTTGGCCATGCTCTCTTCAGACACCTCCACCTCATTTGCTGAAGTACAAAGTCCAAATGCTCTCTGACTCTCAGGGCCCCGGCTGGCGGTGCCTTGCCTTCCCAGCATGCTCTCTGGTGCTGGCCCTACCCAAACCTGCCTCACCTTGTAAACTGAGTAGCGGGCATGGCTTGGCTTGATGATGGGCCTGCCCTTGATCCGGAAGGGGAGCAGGCTCTGACCGTGTTTCTGGGATCATTTTGTCAGAAACCTGCAATTAGGTTAAGTGAAAGGAGAGTAGGAGGGAAAGGGAACTTGCCTAGCAAACAATTGCAGGCAGCCTGGCTCCCCCAGGACTCACAAGCAACCCCTCCTCCGGCTTTCCTCTCTGGACTGTGGTTTCATTTCCCCACCTCTCCTGGTGCCTCTGTCCCTTCTCTCCCTGCAGACTCACTCTCTCCGAGTTGTTGGTGTGGCTGAGGCCACAGGACCTCCCAGGAGCACTGCTCTTGGTTTTGGGGTGCCAGAGAAACTGATTGGTCTGGCCTGGGTGCGGGTGTCCGCCCTGTCCACTCCACTGGGGGAGGCAGGCCACATGGTCTCTGGAACCGTGTGCGAGGCAGTGCTGGGCACAGCTGCTACAATGCGGGCTGCATTTCTGATGCGTGGTATGTTCTGGGGAAGGACGGGCAAATGGGGTGTCACCCTCCTTGAGAGCTCTCGGTATGATGGGAGAGGTAGACCCATAGCTGATTTACCAAAAGGCCACAGGACACGAAGTGGGATTCCTTGGGAGAAACTGGAATTCGCTGATCTCAGGGGAGGATGGGATGGCTGTGCCCCAGGGGTCTCCCCGGCCCTGGCGTGGAGCTGAGGAGGCTGGTGTTCCTATTTCCAGTGTAGGACCTACCCTATCCCCCCACTCCCTGCTCTGAGCTGTGCTGCCAGGGTCAGTACACAGACACAGTAATACAAAACTCATGTTTTCAGAAGAAATGCTTCAAAATGACAGTGAAATGGCTCCCTTCTGAATAGAGAGCGGAGCATGCAGGTGGTTTTTATTAACAAGGCATAAGTGCCGGGCCTTGTCCACTTGCTGGCTTCCGTCTTCACTGAGCAGCCCTGGCTCCGTCCCTGGAATCTTACCTTTGACCCCAGCTGCAGCCAGAAAGACTTCCACTCCCTTCTTTGCCCTTTTGCCCTCTTTGCCATGAGAGGGTGGGATTGCAGGCTCCCAAGGAGTGCCTGGTTTGCCGGCTTCCCTTCCCTAAGCCGCAGTCCTAGGGGTGTCCAGGGCTGATCTGCTCCTGCTTGGACCCACCCTGGCCCCAGCTCTTCCCTGGGGGCCCCACCCTCGCCCCCAACATGTGGCATCAAGGATGGGTGGATGGCTGTGCAGAAACCAGCCTCTCACCCCTACCTGGTTTGGCTTGGTGGGGTGGGTAGAGCATCAAGTGTGGACCGAAGGGTCCCGGGTTCGATTCCCATCAAGGGCACATACCTCGGCTGCAGGCTTGATCCCCGGCCCTGGTCTCTCTCTGTGTCTCTTCCCCCTCCTTTCCATTCGTCCTAAAAATCAATGAAAAGATGTCCTCCGGTGAGGATTAACCTGCCGCTCAGTGTGTAGGGAGCACAGTGCACTTCAGTTTTGGACCCTGCCTTTGAGAAGCTTTCGCTGAATTAGGAAGACATCAGCACCCTTCCTGGAAATGTGAACAAGATCAGCGCCTCTGAGAACATTTGAAGACGAGTAGAAGAGCTGCCTCAGTGCCCAGTGGGGTCATTGCCCTGGCAGGGGTTGCAGGTGGTCCACAGGCACTGGGTGGGCGAGATGGCCTGGGGCTCCCTGGAGGACTAGGACTGGTCTCTGTCTTGAAGGAGGGGCGGGCTTGGGGGAGTTAAGGAGGGCCTTCTGAGGGCACAAAGCAGGAAAGTGAAGGAGCAGAGTGTCTGGCTGGGGGCTCAGGAAGGAGCCAAGTCTGCGTCTAGTTGTAGGACCCAGTTGCGTTTAGTGGTGAGGACAGAAGGGACACTTGGTGTCTTCAGGTTTTGACTACCCTCTATCCTGCTTCTGCCCAGGCCCTTTTCTAACGTAGACCGTTCCCTTCATAAGTCCTTTGCTTGTAGCTTCAGTCACTCAGGTCACATTCAGCTTCTTTCAGACCAGAGTTGGTGCTGGGCTCGGGGAACGCGGAGCAGAGGAGGGGCGACATCCGAGAGGGTCATGTGTGCACTTTGTCTGATTCTAGAAAGGACTTGAGGTGATTTGCAAAGATAAACGCAGCGTAATGAGATGAAAAAGATGGGAAAAAGAGGAAATGCAGAGTAGCAAAAGCCAAACGATGCCCAAGGGGACCTGGCACCCTTTGTGGAGGTAACTTGACTCTGCTTTCCAGCCGCTGGATCTGAGGGGGAGCGGAAGTTCCGAGTGGCTTTGTAGTGTCACATTGGCTCGTGTAAGGCCATGCTATGTATGAAACAGCAGCCTGAGCGAGGGATAGCACCTCCAAGTCGGAGCTGGGTAGTGTGGTCCTGGGACAGGCAGATGTCCAGAACGCAGAGGGTGGGAGGGAGGGCAGCAGCCACCTCTGATCCTTCTAATCCTCCTCCTGGAGGGTCCAGCCAGCAGCTGTGGCTGGGCTGCTGCCTGCAGCCAGCCCCTCAAGTGTCTAATGGGCTCTAGGGGTGGATGAGACCCTGTGAAACAGGAGCCAGACTGGTCCCTGCCCCGAGAATCCCCACCTTGTGAGGAGGTGTGGGGCGTCTGATACAGGACTGTGCCCACCCACTTTGGAGGGTGTCTGAGGGAGCACTGAGAAGTTTAGGGAGGCTGAAATGCAGGGCTCTGGAGGGAAGGGGCTCAGGAAACAAGGCCAGGGCAGGTGAGGGCCAGGTCAGCGGGCAGGAGTGCTGCAGACCGTGGCCCTGGCACTGAGGGCTGTGGGCTGTCCTAACCTTTTGCCTAAATCTTGGCCCTTGTCCCCCCCGACCTGGGTACTGGAGGAGAGTTGGTCTTGTTCTGAGGAAGTAAAGATAAGTGGTTCAGAGTGCAGGCTCGTGGCCAGGGGGCCGAGTTCCCTTGAGGCCTCTGCCATTTGTCCGTTGCATCCCCCTGGGCAAGTGGCTTGACCCCTCTGGGCCTCCGTTTCCCCATTAGTAAATTGGGGCTCATAATAGTCTCTTCTTCCCAGGACCGTTGTACAGATTAAGTGGGTTAATTTTATAAAGCGCTTAGACTGGTGCCTGGAGCAGAACAGACATTACAGATCTGCAGCTGCTTACGCTGGAGCAGTTCAGTGGAGGAGGGTCTCATCCCACCCCGAGCACACAAGTTCAGAGTCAAGGACAGCGAAGAAGCAGAGTCCTTGACAGAGAGCGGTGTGGGCTTGATCGCCCTTGCCCTGTGGTGGGCTGGCCCTGGGAGGTGGAGGTGCTCAGCAGGTCCCTCTAAATGTGGGTTTTGACAGTAATAACAGTTGCATGGGTTTGGGAGAGCTTCCTATGGCAGCTGTGCCACCTGGAGCCGAACCCTGCTCCCAGAGCAGGCCTTAGTCTCTGC